GATAACTATTTATTGAATATATGTGTATATGTATATATTATTAATTGATTAATTAGTTATTTAGTATTTACTACATAAGGATAAAATAAGAAAAGTATATGACATTTTTCTTCAGTGATATATATAGTATTATATGTATATTTTTCATTTATTATTTTGTCATATTTAGTTTGTATTTATTTGACACCTTGTATACGCTTATGTTTTCTCGGACATTATATTGCAGCCTTGCAACGAAATTTCAGTCGAGGAAACAAGCGCAAGCATCGTTTGTTTACAAACTTCCGATGACACACGTACACAGACCACACGTCAGTGTAGTGAGTCACCACTACAAACAAATGCGTACACACGGATCTACGCGGCATAGGTCCGTAGGCTGCGCCGATAATGTCATTTCATTTTTAGTACCATCGAAATGATGGCGCTTTCGCGTCGGAGTTCGCCCGTCACTTCAGCATCCTCTTAAGTTCACTTTAACTTTGGTTTTTGGGATTGTCGCGAACTGAGTTCTGACTGCAGGTTCTAAGACTTTTTGATGTGTTATTTCGGAATATACTCTCTGTCGGAAAGGGCTGTCACGACTTTTTTATAATTGTTACCCCTCTCTTTTACGTCCCTACTTAATAATTTCGGACGTTGATCTCATGAAAAAATTAATTGGTTCTTCTGATCTCGGTGGGGCATAGATTGCTTACATTTAGAAGAATCTATGCATTCTATTGGTGGTACGTGAGTATGGGGTAGGGTGGTTTCTTAGTCCTTACGCAGTGTAATTTGATTGACAAATTTATAATTACCCACGCATTTGCAGTGCGAAATATCTGATCTGACAAACACTTAACCGGTGTCGACTCTTATGATTGGCATTATTTATGTTTATGTGAAAAATTCTTTTGGCGGAGCTGATGATTTGCTTGGTTTTAGCGTTTAGCGCTGCAGGAAGTTTAACTTGTGATCATTTAGCATTCAATTTATGACGTCAGTTCTGTCAAAAGTTTAGATTTAAATATCGCTTCTGTGAGTTAAATGAATTTTTGATTTGTTTATCGAAAGTAGTGTGAAAGAAGCTTCGTTAGACTATGTCGACATTATTTAAACAGTTTAAAATTTATCACTTCCCGTGTTTGCCAGATACGGTTTCGTTTCTAATAAAATATAGATTCGCGAGAAAGAAAAGAATCGTGGAGTCTTATCAGGACATAACACTCCAATAACTGTTAATTTTGCTCTATTTTTATGTTTAAAGTTTCTCAAGTGACATAGCTTTTAAAAAAAATGGACATTGAATGTTTTATAATTAAAACTTTTGATTTTATGTATTTCCAATGTTAAAATTATTGATTCTTTTAATGTAATATATATTGGACGAATAATCGATTAAACCGTTTATATCCTTAAAGACAATTTTGTAAATATAAGAAACATTAACACATAATTCTAGTCATAGCTTTTGTGCTATTTTTCATATTATTATATTTAAAAATCGAAAAATTTTATTCAATTTATGAATAATAATTCACAAATATAATTCAAGAGCATAATAATTTAACTTATTACTTACGATTCATGTTTCGAGGTATTCTTCTAAGCAGCGTGTTCTTGAAACTAAAATGTATGTGCTCATATGTGCTCTGTTTATAAACATTGGCCAGGTACACAAGAACTGTGTATGTATGCATGTATGTATGTATGTATGTACAGAGCGCTTTTTGTAAGCGATTATTTTAGTTGGGCGCATTTAGCACACTGACAAAACAATTGTGTGGGCAATCAGTAATTATTATCTGTGATTGAAGTATACCATTAGAATATAAAAGATCTGATAGAATATAGCATACAAAACGTATAAAAAAGGTGGGAATAATCACGAAATATTTTTTCTACACTAATTGATTCCTCTCATTATTTTGTGCATAAAAGTGTTGTGGTAAGATAATTGAAAAATGAATATTTAACGAGATATTTCATAGTTTATGTAAAATTATATCAAATTACAGTATAAAATATCTCGTGAACTATTCAATTTTTGGCCATCTTACCTCTGTAACTTTTTACGCCGAATATTGCGAGAAATCGATTTATATAAAAAAATTAGAGTGGTTCCATTTGAAAAAGTGAAAATGATCTTTAAATCTTCGAAACGCCTTCACCAAAGATCAAACTGATAAGATCGGTAAATAGATCTTTTTAAACCCTATAACTTTTATTTGAAACATTTTTTTACAAAAATTATATTTTTTGAGATATTCTGGAGTTTCCACCATTTTTATACACCCTGTATATTCCAATGGCTCACATAAAAATTTAATCTCCCTCCCCAGCCCTCCCCAGTTGCCTCCTTAATCCTCACCACAGTGGAAAAAACCCATCCCCACTTCTCCAAAGTTCACTTTAGTATGTAACGTGGACCATTGTGCAAACCACGTCAGTGATATAGTTTCGTGAAAACGACTTACTTTAGACGAGTAATTAATTAATTGATTAAACGAGAAAGTAATAAATACGACTTAGCGACTTGGTTAAGCTCGTCGCCATATAATATTATATCATTAATAT